AAAAAAAAAAAAAAAAAAAAAAAAAAAAAAAAAAGTAAAATAAATAAATAAATAAATAAAAAGTGGGCAGAGGAACAGAAAGTAAAGTAAGAGTTGGGAAGTGTTTATTTGATTTACTAATAATGTTTCTGAGATTTTGTTAAAGGAAGATTTGATGGAGTAGTAAAATTAAAAGTAAAATAATTATATTTAGAATTGAATGGCAAATGAATATTCTGTAAAAGTAGACCATTTTACATTTTAGAAAGCTTTCCTGTGAAGGGGGATAGAGGGAGATGACAAAGGTTTAAGGGAGGAGTTTTGTTAAAGAGAGAAAGAAAATAGGCACTGGAAAATAATTCTAGACAACTGATAAAGCAAAGGACCTGAATGAGATACAAGGAATGGAAATCATAGCATAGGAGAAGGATCAGTTTTTGAAAGGAGGGGGGACAATTCGATGGCTAAGGTGTGTAAAAGAAAAGAAGCTCTTTTCCCTCCTTTCTGCCATTAAATCTTGCAATCCTTAAGATCATTTTGACTTTTTATTCCATATTCTTACTTTTATCCAGTCCCAGGACTTCAGTTACCATTTATATATCAATGATTAACATAAATAGTCCAGAACGCTTCTCTGACTTCCAGAAGTATAAATTCAGGTATTTACTTTACCTGTTTCTTGAAAATCTTAGTGGGACCTCAAACTCATAATGCCCAAGAATGAATTTTCTCTTGTGTTTTGTATCTCCGTAAATGATAGGACCATTTACAGAATTAGTTGCCTAAGACAAGTAACCTCACTTACACTCTGGTCCTCTTTTTTTTTTTTTTTTTTTTTGAATGTTTATTTATTTTGAGAGAGAGATAGAGTGCAAGCAGGGGAGGGGCAGAGAGACAGAGAGAGAGAGAGAAAGGGAGGGAATCCCAAGCAAGCTCCTCAATGTCAGTGAAGAGCCCCATGCAGGGCTCGAACTCACAAACTGTGAGATCATGATCTGTGCCGAAACCAGAGTCTGACGCTTAACTGACTGAGCCACCCAGGTGCCCCACTCAGGTCCTCTTTCAAGCATCATTCTGCCGTATCCATTACATTGCCAACACCTATGGAGTTTACTTTTTCATAGCTTTCTTTTTTTTTTTTAATTTTTTTTTAACGTTTATTTATTTTTGAGACAGAGAGAGACAGAGCATGAACGGGGGAGGGGCAGAGAGAGGGGGAGACACAGAATCGGAAGCAGGCTCCAGGCTCCGAGCCATCAGCCCAGAGCCCGACGCGGGGCTCGAACTCACGGACTGTCTGATCGT